CCAAAGTACTGGGATTATAGGCGTGAGCCACCGCACCTGGCCTTTAAAATTTTTTTTGTAGAGATGGGTTCCCACTATTTTGTCCAGGCTGGTCTTGAATTCCTGGGCTCAAGCATGTTCCTTCCTTAGCCTCCCGAAGTGCTAAATAGTATTTCATTTTTTTTATTTATTTATTTTAAGACGGAGTCTCGCTCTGTTGCCCATGTCGGAGTGCAATGGCATGATCTCGGCTCACTGGAACCTCCACCTCCTGGGTTCAAGGAATTCTCCTGTCTCAGCCTCCCAAGTAGCTGGGACTACAGGTGTGTGCCACCATGCCTGGCTAGTTTTCTTATTTTTAGTAGAGACTGGGTTGATCTACTAAACCCACAGGAGTAATCCACCTGCCACGGCCTCCAAAAGTGCTGGGATTACTGGCGTGAGCCACTGAACCCAGCCTATTTTATTTAAGACAAGGTCTCAACTCTGTCACCAAGGCAGGAGTGCAGGGCTGCAATCTTGGCTTTCCACATCCTCCCAGACTCAAGCCATCCTCCCACCTCAGCCTCCCGAGTAGCTGGGACAAGCACCGCCATGCCTGGCCAACTTTTGTGTTTTTTTGTAGAGACTGGGTTTCACCATGTTGCCCAGCCTGTTCTTAAATTCCTGAGCTCAAGAGGTCTGCCCACCTCAGCCTCCCAAGGTGCTGGATCACAGGCATGCACAACCAAGCCTGGCCTAAATAGTATTTTGACAAAGAGCCATAAATCCTATATAGTGATGAGACAAATGAGAGAGCAGTGCTAGTCTTTTAAAATGTGGGAAGATAGTAAAATCTGTTCCCAGATTCCTCTGGTATCTGTGGGTGCTTTTTGGGAGCTGATAAACAAGTGTCTCCAGTAAGGAAGGATTTAGGTTGAGGCAAGGAGAGGCTGAGGCAGTGTTCTCCCGTGTTTCCAGTAACTTTAACTTAACAATCCTGAACATTTTGAGAAATATTTTAAGTTCCTTCAAGGGAAAGAATTGTCCTTTTCTTTTTTTTTTGAGACTGAGTCTCACTCTTGTCACCCAGGCTGGAGTTCAGTGGTGTGATGTGATGTGATCTTGGCTCACTGCAACCTCTGCCTCCTTGGTTCAAGCTATTCTCCTGCCTCAGTCTCCTGAGTAGCTGGGATTATAGGTGCCTGCCTCCATGCCTGGCCAGAGTTGTCCTTTTCTTAACTGGGTTTCCTTCACCATTGGGGGAGTACAGATCCAAAGACATTTTCTGGCACATTCCTTGCTGAAGAGGGTAAAAATTTACACATTCTGGGCTGGGTGTGACGTCATCTTAAAAAAAAAAAAAGTAGAAGGCTGGGCGCGGTGGCTCACGCCTATATTCCTAGCACTTTGGGAGGCCGAGGCGGGTGGATCACGAGGTCAAGAGATCGAGACCATCCTGGTCAACATGGTGAAACCCCGTCTCTACTAAAAATACAAAAATTAGCT